AAAAAAAAAAAAACACGGAAAGATGAAAGGTATAGGGATAGAGAAAGCTACATCAGGCAAACACTAGCAAAATAAAGGTAGAGTAGCCATATTAGTACCAGATAAATGGTCTCTAAGTCAAAAAAGAAGTGATTCGGGATAGAGAGGGTCACCAGAGAATGATAAACCTTCACCTCACCAGGAAGATAGGGTTGGAAGAGAATGGGCACCTAAACAAATAACTTGGCACTAAGTACTACAGGTGCTTCTCCACTTTCCACATGGAGGCTCGTGCCTGTGGGTGGCCAGCTCAGCCTTTGGCTGCTGCGTCCGGAGCCAGAGAAAAGGATCCGCGGACTGGCAGGCCCTCCTCAGCTCTCCAGGTACATAAGGAAGAAGGAGCTGGAGTCAAAGCTGCTTCCCACACTCCCATGAGAGGCCAGGTGAGTTAGGATGTGAGTTCTCACTTTATGGGTTGGGGCGGGAACACAGAGAAGAATGAAGGAAGAATTTGAATTCAGAAGGCAGAGGTCCTGTCTTTGCTAAACCCAATATTTCTCGAATTTTTTTCTTAGCACCTTAAGATCTGGAGAATTTGGACAAACAGTGACCTGATGCAATTCTTCCGTTTCAAAGACCAAGAAACAAAGTGCAGGGAGGCGATGCGGCGTGAGGTAAGTCACACACACGAATGATGTATCTGTGTGTGCATATAATCATTCATATTCACACAGTGACCCAAGAGAGATCTTGAAAACAAATGAATCTAAATGTTAAAATGGCAAATTTCCCCTGGATAAAGAAAGAAAGAAAAAAAAAACCCTCTATCAGACAGCCCCGCGAAATTAAAAAAGGCACTGCGGTAGGTCTGCTTTCGCTCCGCAAAGGGCCAAACAAGCAGGCTGTTAACACCGTGTGCACCACATTGAAATGTCAGATTGCTTCTGACTCGGGTAATTCATTACTGAATTGAAAGCATTATATATGGGAAGAGCAAAAATCTAATTCCAGCTCATTTCAATAAGAATTGATCTAAGAGTTCATTACATAAAGTAATTTTTACCAGCACAACTTCGAAGGCGTGCTTCAGTGAGGATTAGAATCTCTCCTGATAGCTGAAACTGATAAGGGGAAATTTGCATACGGATAGCACAATGCTAAGGTGCACATCTCTTGTGTTGTGCATAACAAGTTTGTTTTTCTGATGTTTGCTCCATGTTGGAGATGAAGGTTAGGCCTGACGAAGTAGCGTTCGGGGTTATTTTTAAAAGGGATCTGAAATCCAGGTTCATTTGTCTCTATCTCATGCAATAACTTAATAAGGAATTGCATGTAAAGCACTTAGCACAGGTTGAAGTTCTTGTTGAAAGGTAGCTTTTAGAAAGCTCTTCAAACCCTGGTTCGCTAGTCTGAAATACCAAGATAGTACACCTGGCCTGGTGTCCTTAAAGACCCAAAGAGTAAATATGTGTGGGATGCAGTTTCTGCTAGATCCAACCACTGCCCCTGGGTTGAACGCCTCCAAGATCTGGATCCCCAGCTTTGTGTTTGATTGGCATCTGCGCTGGGGCTCAAGCAGCTGAACCCAGGCCCCCAATTTCTCAGGCACAGCAAACAATTCTTCCATCTCTTATTAAATAGGCTTTCTGGACTCAAAGAGCAGGTCTCTAGCCAAATCCTTGGCTCTTCACTGGGATCATCAGGAGTGGGGGTGGGGTTCTTTAAAAAAAAAAATGCCCAGGCTGCCCCCAAAACCAACTAAAACAGAATCCCTGGGCATGGGACCCAGATGTCAGCATATGTATAAGCTCCCTGGTGATTCCAATGAACGGACAAGGTTTTGAACACCTGGGGCTAACGGGTGGTAGAGAAACAAAGCTAGGGGCTGTAGAATGGCGCGGATGGCTTTTCCCTATGTTTGTGCCCCCAAAACGTCTGCTAACAGCTTGAAGGGTAATGTGAGGAAGAGGTAAAGGAGCCCAGAGTTTTTCCCCCAAAACACTTTCCAGTAGCAAGGTAATAGGGAGCTCTGCCGAAGCGGGCTTTCTAGTTAGCACGGGGAAGGTCAGAAAACTCTTTTCAGATCACAAAAAAGGCCTGATTTCAGCCTCTGCCTTGGTCAGCAGAACAGAGCACCTGTCCAATAAGAACCCCCTTCTTTGACTTTTGTCCTTTGAGACGAGGCACTTTTTTTTCTTTTTTAAGATTTTATTTATTTGCCAGAGAGAGAGCACACAAGCAGGCAAAGCAGCAGGGAGAGGGAAAGGGAGAAGCAGGCTCCCCACCGAGCAGGACCATGGGAGCATGACCTGAGCTAAAGGCAGACACTTAACCAACTGAGCCACCCAAATTGGCGTTTCCGGAACTGTACTATCTAGGCCAAATAAAGAATGAATGAAGAGGCAGGAAGAGCAGGTAGGAGCTGATGGGTGAAGCCAAGGTCAGGCATTCCTAGGGCAGCCGTGGTTCTCGTCGTTCCCGTGCCTCACTCCTAGCATTTCTGATACAGTAGCTCTGGAGTAGAACCTGACCGCCTGCATCTACACGCTCCTAGGCTGGTGGTTGTGACTGCACGTTGAAATCACCCGGAGACCCGGGGCCCCACCTCACCCCTCTGCATGGTTCAGTTGGTCTGGGGTAGGACCCAGACATGAGCATGCAAAAGCCCCCAAAGGATTGTCGGGTGAAATCAGAAGTGAGAACTGATCTCTGTTGCTCAAAGTGTGGGCCAGGGGCTCGCACCAACCGGAACGTGTTAGAAATGCAGAGTCTTGGGCTCCATCCCAGACCGAGAGAATCTGCGTCTGCATTCTGACAAGATCTTGGGTGATTCTCGTGCCTGTGAAAGTTTGAGATGCACTGACAAGTAGCATCTGGCCTGAAATAGGATTCCAGAAGCATCTGGAAGCATGGGGGGAGATGGAGTCCAGACCCCAGGGTGAGAACTCAGAAACAGACACAGGGGAAGAGAGAAGTTCATTTGTTCATCCAAATGGACTATAAGGACCCACAGTGTGTGACCCTCACCATGTGACCATGACCCTCAGTGTATGACGGATACTGCTGGGTTAAGTGCTAGAGAATCAGGGGGCCTCATGCCATCCAAACACTACAATAATAAAACAAGGGGCCTTGAGCTGTCACCTTAAAGCTCTGGACGTGCTTCTGATCCAAGCAGCCTGGGTCAGGAACTCATGAGCACCCCGAGAGCAAGTGCAGCATCCCAGCACACAGCAGGTTCTCCGTCAATGCTGAAGGAGGAATGCCCAGTGTAGCGGCTTCGGAGCCACACCTTCCAAGGTGGAGAGGGTCACGACAGGCAGAAAGGGGATGTCAGAGGCTGGAGCATGCAAAGGGCCAGAGAGTAAGTATTTTAGGCTTTGGAGACCGTGTGGTCTCTCAGCTCTGCCCCCACCATGTGAAAGCCTCCACAGGCCTGCTGTGTGCCAGTCCGAGTTTATCTCCAGCAACAGGCTGTGGGCTGCGCATGGCCGTGGCGAGCCGGCCCCTGGTCTGGAGCAAGAGGGGAAGGCAGGCTGAGGTGGAAGCACACAAGGGCGAATCGGAGGTGGCTAGCAGGCCGTGGGAGGCCTTCACTACAGAGCAGAGGGGAGCAGACCTTGAAACAGGAGTGGCCAGCTGGTGCAGGACTTTGGGAGCACACAGGGAGCGGCTCAGAGGCCAGCTTGCGGGGAGCCCCGTGGAAGACTCGTGTCAGGGAGGATCAGGAGCTGGGGAAGGGAGATAGGCAGGGGGCCAGGTAGACGTAGGGATGGTTCCCAAGAGCACTGGAGGACAGGGAGCCAGAGTGAGGAGGTGCTCTGGCTGTGGGATCTGCAGGGATGAGGGTCGGGAGGGGTGGTGCAGGGGGACTCACAGACAAAGTCGGTTCCTGGTCCCAGGGTCACTGGGTTGATGGGGATTGCTGTGGCCAGGCACGGGGGCCGGGGAGGGTGCAGCAGGATCCGTAGGCAGGAGGTGAGCCAGATCTGGGAGCTCGGGGGAGTGTATGGAGCACGGCCGGGCCCACTGCAGCATGTCAACCCCCGTCACACCGGAGCACCCAGGCAGCTGCAGAAAGCGTTCCAGAAAAGCAGGAGGAAAGGTTCAAACGCAGGGCTTGCCTAATGGTCGATCTTCTGATGGATGTGAATCTGGGAGACAGAACTCACCCAGGACTGGGCAGGGAATCCCAGCCCTCCAGGGCTGGAAGGTGCCTAGGAGCCGTGTTCCTCCAACCTCGGGATGCCATGAAGCCCCTGGGGGTGCTGTGAAGGAAGAGTCTGGCTCCGTGGTTTGGGTGGGGCCGAGACTCCACGTTTCTAAGGAGCGCAACTGTGTTGCCTGCTGCCGGCCCAGGAGAGGCTTTGAGAATCAAGGCCTTGGAGCTGATCCCCACCTCCCCCTCTTGCCTCCAAGACAAGGGCGGTGAGACCCACTGGGCTACTACTTGTGGGATGGCCATTATACCAGCCCCTGGGGACGCTGAGGAAATATGAAAAGTAGCTCATATTGGAGTCCTTGTGATGTGGCAGGCACTGTCCCATTCACATTGTGACTCATTTACTCCTCGCTGTGGCCCAGGCGGTGGGTTCCCCTACGGCCCCGTTCCCCACACGGTGACGGAAGAACAAGGCAGCCACACTCTTGAGCCAAAACTCCATCCCTGAGGCCCACAGAGGGAAGCCACGCCCCCCGCCCATGGCAGGACCACGAGCCCCAAATGGGTGCATTCCCCCCACCCCAGGCTCGGTCACCTCTCCTGGAAAATTCCAAACTTCGGCTATGACGTTGGACCCGAGGCATAATGAACCCACTAAGTCGGGTGGGCTGGTGCGGGGAGCGGCCTGCAGCAGGGACACGGGGGCGCTCGGAGAAGTCTCCAGCGGTGCTTCTCTCGGCACTAGGTCAGCCCTTAGAAGAGACACCTCCGCGGAGCTCCTGCAATGCGAACAAGTGTTCCCCAATAAAAGGGAAATAATTTTTTGCGGCCAGTGCGTATTTTATGGGCATCATCCTCAGGAGCGGCTCCCGGGCCCGGGGGCGCGTGCGCTGCGATGCTGCCACCTAGTGGCGATTGGGGGGGGCGGCAGCTGCTGCGGAAGTGAAGTGTCCAAACCCCCGAAGAGGCAGGGGAGGCGGCATCCTGCGAACAACCATTCTGGGCGGTGGCTGTTTTTAGCTGGGTCTCTCCTTCTGTGCCACTTCCATCATGGAAACTGGCTCTCTAGACCCAAAAAAAGCTGCGACGTGCTCTGCAAAAGCTGTTCGAGGGCCAATTTTAGCTGCATTTCTTGGAATTTGGGCTCCCGGGAGGGAGGAGGGATGCGTGGTTCCCAGGAAGTCGGCAGCTTTTGAGAACCTAGAACCTGGAGGTTGGTTCTGGCCATGAGCGTGTGAGATTATGGATCCCTTGGGTTCCAGCCCCAAGGGTACCCGGCCCTGCAAAGGAAAATGTATTTGGGGGCGGTTTAGAGGCGGCAGCTACTGTGTCCTTGGGAGCTTTACCCTGTGCTATTAAGAGCTCTCTTATCATGGACAATCTCACTGATGCCTCAGACCCTAAGTGGAAATGTACAAATTACATCCATTTTACAGCTGAGGAAATCAAGGCTTGGAAAAAAGTTCAATGACTTAGCCAAGGTCATAGAGCTGGTAACTAGCAGAGAGCCATGATTTGAATTCTAGAATCTGCGCGTTAACCCAGAACCCAAACAAAGCAGTGGATTCAGGAGTTGAGAGTCCTGAGTTCATCCACACTCTGCTGCTGCCAACTCACTGTGTGACCTTGAGTAAGTAGATGAACCTCTCCGGGTCTGTTTCCTCTATGGTAAAGCAGGTATGGTATTCATGCATTCTGCTACTCAAGGCTGAGTGGGGATCCAAAGATAAATCTGCCATCCTTGGAGCCAGTGATTCCATTCCCTGGCCTGGGGGCCACCCAGACCCTCAGATTCTTCTAAAGATCCCAGGAGTTCAATGGAGATACACTCAGGACCCCCGCATGGGAAGGAACCCCTAAAATGAGCACTGCCTTTGTTTAGTCCCTGGGAATCCATACAGCAAATCAGCCCGGCCCCCAGTTTCTGGGGTTCCAGTTCCCACCCTGCCCCTACTCACCTTTGCGTCCTGGTTCTCACCTGTCAAATGGGGTTTGACTCTGGCACTGACTTGTCGCATTGTTCCAGGATTTAAAACTGCGTGCTAGCGAGTAAATCTTCCAGGCAGGTGCATGCGCTAGAATCACCCTCTCATCCTGATTTGTCCAGGACTTTGCCCATTTTAACTTTGACATTCCGTGTCCCGAGAAACCCCTCAGTTCTGGGTGAACCGGGATGACTGGTCACCCTACAGGACACACAGCTCAACCCTGACCAGCAGACTAGATGTCCCCATTCTCGACACCCCTCATGGCCCTTTTCATGGCTGGAAATGATCTGTGTGTCAACCTCCCCCAGTAGATGTAGTCTTATCTGATCGCCGCCGTGCCTGGCTGGGGGCTTAGCCCCTGTCAGTCCATCAGCAAACCACAGGGAGTAAAGAGGCCTCTGTGTCAGATCCTCTTGCTAGGCACTGGGAATACAAGATAGCAGAGGCCGTGGCCATGTGGTCGTTAAGGGTTGTGATGGGGTAAGCATGGGATCAGGGAAAACCACAGAAGGACCATAAGCTAGCATGAGAGGACATGTGTCAGAGAGGCCTTAGGAGGATCTGACCCAAGGTGGGCCCACAGAGCTGAATTATTCAGGCAAGGAAGAGAAGAAGCGAAGACAGAGGTTTTGTTGGCCACACGACAAGCCTGTGCCTGGGGTGTCAGCCTGACCCCAAACCAGAATGCAGTCTCCCAAATCCCAGAAACATCCCACATCTCCTCCTCCGAACACCACCCAGTCCCTGCTCACTTGATAACACAAAGGAGACATTACCTTAATCGACAGCTCATAGCCTTTGTCCTTGTCCCCAAAGGTCCAAGTTCATGCCTAAGATCTTGGATAGGGCATGGGAAGAAGCTCTGCAACCCCCCAGAAAATTCTAAATTATTGGTTTACTATACAGGTGGAAGGACAGGCTCACCGTTCCCAGCTTTTACCTTATTTACGGGTGGCTGTCGCCCAGCTGAGACCTGGGAGCACAGCTGATTATTGGAGTCATGACCCAGTGGTTCTCAGCTGGGCTCATAGCATCTTCCGGGGAATATTTAGCAATGTCTGGAGATGCTTCTGGTTACCCCGTCTGGCGTGGGGGGTTGCTCCTGGCATCTGGTGGGCAGAGGCTAGGGGGGTTGCTAAGCACCCGCAGAGCACAGGACGGCCCCGCAACAGAGAGTCATTCAGTCCAAAACATCATTACTGCTGACGTTGAAACCCTTACCCTGTTGTAACTGGCCACCGAGGGCTCCACAGGAAGCCACCGGGCAGCCATTGAGCTGTTCGGTGACCTCCCGGATAGAGATTGAGGGGACAGGGTTGGGCCTGAAGTTTCCTGTTCGACTTTATTTCCACGTTAGTGCCGCATTAGTCTTCCGTGTGACTTTTAATATTTTTCCTGGTCCCTGACCCTCAACGCTGACCCCATGCCTGCAGGAGAAAGATCAGGTGGCATCTCAGCCCTTCCGCGCGCCCCATTCATTCCGCGCACACTGGCTAACGGCCTCTGCCCTCAGGAGCATGCAGTCTCCCAGCTAAGGCAAGCTTTGGTCCCCTCGTGACTGGAGAGCCAGGCAGCAGCAACAGCAGTGGTACCTCCCACCTTGTGCTCCATGAGAATGGCACCCCCTGAAGCACAGCTCAAGAAAGCAGGTGAAGGTGATCCCCCACCCCGAGACTGACCGCTCAGCAGCCCCACGAAATGCCAGACCACAGCAAATGATCAATGCCACTTGAGCATGCGCGGCTCCTTTAGGGCCGGCTCTGTGCTGAGGACCTCACCTGGATGATCTTGTCTTGACCGCACCACCCCTGTGAAGGAGATGTTAGTATGAGCATCTGCAGACTGCAGATAAGGAAGGTGAGGCTCCGTCGCTGAACAATGTGCTCAGAGCTGCCCAACTCAGAGGTGGCAGAGCAGGAATTAAACCCATGGAGGCTGATTCCAGAAACCATATGCTTAACAAGTCCCCTGTCAGCTGAGAAGAAAACTTCAAAAGCTCAGTGAGGAATGGGCATTTTTAGAGCTCAGGGAATTGCTTGAGGCAGAAAGTCTCTGGCAGGGAATAGAGGTGGGCTCTGAAAGCATGAGATGTCAGTCTGAGCAGCTTGACCTCGACACTGGAGACCTGGAAAAGCACCTTGGTTTCCTCTTGTGGTCAACCCCAATCCGTGGCTACCATAGAGAGACGGACCACAGAGGAGCGTGGGGCTTGACACTGATCAGTGACGTCTGCTTTGGGTCTGGGAGCGAGGAATAACAGCATGCACACACATAAACACATACGAACACACGCACACACCTACATATATGCAGAGACACACAGGCACATGCATACAGATAGGTACATGCAATATACACACGCACACAGACACACGCATCTACGCAGAGACACACATACAGAGACACACACAGAAAGCCATGCACAGAGACGGGCATATGCACACACCTGTGCAAACACACAACCCCAGACACTCAGACACGTGGATGTACATATACACACTCACGTAGATACATACAAGGAAACACACACACACCGACACACACACAAGGCTTGCTACATAAGCTGCTGAGGACAAGAGAACGCCCAGCTCACATCACCTGGAATGATGACCCTACACACTTTTTGGACTATTCTCCCTACAAAGAAGTCTCCCAAGTTTAAAAAAAAAAGCAAGTGTTTAATACCCGCCTCCTAGCACCTTCAGTGCTAGCGTGGGCTTCCCACGTCACCATGGAAACTGTGCCACCCGGCACTTGCCATTCAAAAACTTTTGTGGCGTTCAAAAACGTTCACATATGTCAAAACGACACTGATCCGTTCCAGATAGGTGACCCTAATTTTGAACACGGTTCTAAGGACTCCTGGAAGGCAGAATGCGGAATGACTTTGCCGGCACAGGGTGAGTTACCAGGAAAAAGAAGGCAATGCCGTCAGTCCACACGGCTGCAAATTCCTGTCTTTAATGCCGCAGGCAGCCCTGCCCATCGAAGAAGAAAAGATGCCCCAAAGGAAACCATCACCTTGTAGCTTTGTAATAAGTGCCTGGCGGTTCTCACCAAATGTCTGTAAAAACATATAATGGAGTTCTATTTTATGTTACGTTCCTGATCAGTTATAGCATTTCATGTTATCAAATGGGCCTTCGGAATAAATTCTTGATTTATAACATGGGGCTTTTAGGAATGATGGGTGCTCAGAAGCTCCGAGAAGTTAAGTAAGCCCTCTAAGATCGCACAGGAGAATCAGGATTTGAATCTAAGTCTGATCCCCAAACCCTGGACTTTCTCCTCCAAGTTGCCCCCACTCCATAACTCCCCTTCCTATGACTGGGGAGTTGATGTTTTAAATCTCATGCCAGACCCTTGTCTCCTTATGTCCTTGAGATGCCCCCACCCCAACTCTGCACTTCACTCTTCCGAATTATTGCATTTCTCTGTGTGTTTGTCTCCTAGCGCCGCCATAACAAAGCACCACAAACTGGGTGATTTAAACAACAGAAATGTATTGTCTTACAGATCTGGAGGCCAGAGTCTAAGATCAAGGTGCGCCCAGGGTCAGGTCCTTCTGAGGGCTGGAAGGAGGAACCTGTTCCAGGCTTCTCTCCTGGCTTCTGGTGGTTTGCTGGCCATCCTGGTGTCCCTTGGCTGGTAGGGAGTTAACCCTGATCTCTGCCTCTGTCTTCACACGGCTAGGACTGGGGTCCCAAGGTACTCAGCCGCTGACAAGGGACTTCTTGCCCACCCCCCACCCCATTCAAGAGAGTTCTCGGGGAAGACCTCGCAGGAAAGGTCCCAGCTAGCTGCAAAGGGATAGCCCCGAGGACACCTACACAAGGTTCTTAGAGATTCAAATTCTAACGCTACAAAACATTTCAATACAGGTTAATGAGGCAGGTTAAAATAGCCAGAATCTAAGAAGCAACCTTGTGGCTCTGGAGGAAAAAAGAGTGACAGTCTGCTCTCTCTCTCTAACTCATTCACACACACACACACACACACACGCACAGGCACACACACACGCACGCACACGCACATACTGCCCATGCTCTGCCAGCAATTCTCAACCAAGGTGTGGTGTGTTGCAAGCAGTTTTGAGGTGTATCACCAAGTAATCTGTTGCTAATAATAAAGTGCCAAATGTTGCAAATATATGTACAAGTAGATTCAAGGTTATTCCTGTGAAACATCAGCCTCACTCACTGCATTCTGATTACATTTCTCCAGCGGGAGAGGGAAAACGAGAACTTACAGCTAGAGCAAGGCGCTGGAATGGGAAGCCTGGGACAGCCTCTCTGTGCCCCATGCCCTGTAAGATATGGATGGAAATGTCAAGCTTTCTTCTTTTTAACAGACACAGATGCACATACTGGGGGTAGACCCCCGGGAGGAAAGGAGGTACACGTGACCAGTGGAGGTCAGGGAGGATTCCCATCCTCGCTAGTGATCCACAAATGCAAATTCGGAAGAGGAGGCACCATTATCATCCATCTAATTGATAAAACATGTTACATCTGATCTTAACAGGTATTGGCAAGGGTGGGAGGGTGGAGAGAGGGCTCCCCTCAAACATGGCAGAAGGGGGCATTGCAGATCTGGATGCCATTACCTTCCTGACCTCAATTCCTAGGCTCTCTCACTTGCTCACTCTGCCCTAAAATCACCAGGAATGTCCCTGCCTCAGGGCCTTTGCACTTGCTAGCACCTCTGTCTGGAACGCTCTTTCCCAGTCTCCTGCATGGCCCATTCCCTTTAAGTCTTTAGTCACAGGTCACACATATCCCAAGCCATATTTTCATTCCCACACACATACACACACACTTTCCCCCTCTCTCTGTCCCTCTTCTCTACTCTTTTTCCACGAATCACCAGATATACATAAGCTTTACCTATTCCTTTGTTTATTGTCTACCTCCCCCCAGCACACACCTCCATAAAATGTCAGCACCAAGAAGGCAGGGACTTTGTGGCTTACCTATTCCCTTCTATGCCCCCAGAGTTTGGAGCAGTCCTGCCCTGGATGGACAATACCTATTTGTTGAAAGAATCAAGATTTTAAATGCAGATAACCTTTGATTTCACTTTTAAGAAACCCTCTGTACTTGTTTTCTATTGTTGCCTAACAAATTAACAACTTAAAACAACACCTACCTATCAGCTCCCAGCTCCCCAGGTCAGAGCTTCAGCCTGGTGTGGCTGGAGACCGTGCTGAGACTGAAATCGAGGGGTCTCTGGGCCGCTGTGTTCTTTTCCGGAGCTCAGGATCCTCTTCCACACCCATTCCTGTTACCAGCAGAACGCTGCCCCCAATTCCTTGCTGGCTGTCTGCTGTGGGGTGCTCTCAGCTTCGAGAGGCCACTTGTTTTCGTCTCAACGTGGACCCTCCATCTTCACGCCAGCACGGCATACCCCAACCTCTTCATGCTTCACACCTTCCTGCTTCCTCTTCTGCTCCCAGCCGGGAAACGCGCTCTGCTTTTAAAGGGCACATGCACTCAGGTTAGGCCACCTGGGTCATCTTCATGTCTGAAGTTAACTGACTGGGGACTCGAATCACATTTGCAATAGCCCGTCCCAGCAATACCTAGATCCGTGTCTGAAGAGCCAGACGAAGGAAATCCAGGAGCATCTTTATGACTCCGCCCGCCACACCAGCCTAGGCAAACACTCAATGCAATATGCATGGGGAGACGGGGATGAGCGTGCACGCTGCAAAACTAGTTAGAACAGAAAGACACGGGACCCACCTGCATGTTCATCAGCGGGAAACGAGATGTATCAGCTACGGTACAGCCACACTCCGGAACATTCCACAAGCGTGAAAAAAAAAAGGAAGCAGAGCTGCAGAGCACATTTTCACCTGCTGAATCTACACAGTGGGCCATGCGCTTCTCCCGGGGTTCAGAGCACCAGCCCCGGAGCAAGGCTGCCTGAGTGAGAGTCTCTGCTTCGGCGCGTCTTATTTGTGCAAGCTAGGTGATTGTCAGAAACTTTCTGTGCCTCTGTTTCCTCATCTGTAAAACAGAGATGATCATCCTAGTACTACCCCACAGGGATTGCCTGGATTAATTAAGATAATGCATATAAAGCGCTGGATACTTGGTTGGAACAGAGTGAATGCTAAATAGAGGGCAGCTATCACCAGCTTTATAATTATGAACATCGCTCTCACTTCCGATATGCCTGTGAGGTCTCTTTATTCTGCATGATATATGCCACTATGCCAGGATTTAGTATTTCTGCACATCCAGATACGGCACTTTTTACTCTGCTATAGAAAAAGATATAGGATGTTTTCACTCTGTTATTTATACCAATAAAAGGCAAGCGTCACAGCAATCAGGCACTTTACTCTGTTATTTTTAGGCAAGGGTTTCTGGATGTTACGTATGCGGTTAGGAGATATGTATGTTTACTCCTCGCAAGCCATGCAGACCTGGCATGTTTGGGTTGGCTGCATATGCTTGGCTCACGGTGCCGGCATTATAGGGATGCAATCTCAGTAGAGTCTGGAGCAGACTGGAGATGGAAGTTAAGGGGGATGAGGACTCTGCCGGACACGGGACTTTCAGGTTTAAAACACAGGAAGTCGCGGGCAAGCCAGGCAAGCCGGTCACCCCACACACAGCTCCGGTCAGTGTTCTCCAAACATCACTCATTCATACCCCACACACATAACCACTCAGGAACATAACTCTGGGGTCAGGGTCTGGGTTCACATCCCGCCTCCATCGCTCACTCGTCACACAGCCTTGGCAAGATGGTTAAGTCTCAGTGCCCTCCAAATGCTCAACTGCAAAGTGGGACTGATCATAAAACCAAGCTCAGTGGCCGTGAGGACTGTAGTAAGTAGAAAGCACCTAGAATCATGCCTGGCCCATAGTAAGCACTCAGTAAACCTTTGCATATTGTTATTAGTGTATCTGCCACCATGCCGGCTAGCTATTTAAATATTTTTATATCTACACACTCTTAAAAGGCTTAAATGAATTTACTGTAAAATGCAATTGTATATCACTACCCTAAATGGAAAGCCAGTGCTCACAGCCTTATAAATAGAAGGTAACTGTAAACACAAATACATACCTCTTTTCCAGGTCAGAGCAAGTTGAGGCCCCACTTAGGGGATGCAGACACCCTTGGGAAATCCAGCCATCTGGACCAGTGGAAACAGGCTACGAGACAGGGAAGGACAAGATGAGGTAGAATTAGGGCTCAGAACTGATTTACAGCGGGCCTGAGGACTCCAGGCCAGATCTAAGCACACCATGCCCCACCCTAGGGCCATCAAGGAAGTGCCTGTAGGAGGGGCACCTGCATGCCTCGGTAGGTTGAGCATCTGACTCTTGATTTCAGCTCAGGTCATGATCTCAGGGTCGTGAGATCAAGCCCCACTTCGGGCTCTGCACTCAGCCGGGAGTCTGCTTGAGATTCTCTCTCTCCCTTTCCATCTGCCCCTCCCTGACTCTCGGGGTGGGGGTGGTGGTGAGGAAGAGCCAGTAGGAGGTGGTAATTTTCCACAACTTGAGATAAAATGCCTCTGTTCTCACCTCATTTGGGCCTCCCATAGGCAGCCTAGGTGTCTGGTTGGGACAACTCCCTGCAGCGCCCTTCCCCTTAGACAAGTCGTGTCACCTCTCTGAACCTCGGTAAACACCCTCGGGAAAATGGGCACAAGAGTGCCTGCCTCTCAGGATTTTCGTCACCCTGAGAGGACCAGATGGGCAAGAGGTAAACACGCCTCATGGCTTTCAAAGAAGCATTCATGCTCACCACCTGGCCTTTCCAGGTCTCAAGAATTATTCTGTGGCAACTTCTCATCATGTGGCCATTCCCAAACTGTCCCATATCCCCTAGCCTCAGTGGCCTGGATGAACCATGCAGGTATATAAGCAGAAAGCCCTTCCGAAAGCCAGGAGAGAAGGGAGGCTAATTTTACCACTTTTAGGTAATTGTTCTTTTTTTTTTCTCCCCTGTACTTGAAAACCTGGTCTCCCACTTAAAAATACTTCAAACATTGAGCTTGAATCACGGTACGAACTTCAAGTGACAGGCTCATAATACAATCCGAGCACCTGCTCGCAAGCCATGCAGACCTGGCATGTTTGGGTTGGCTGATTGAATAATGCGTGAATAGTTCTCCCTCCTTTACCATAACATTCCCTGCTAAAAAGAAACACAAACACCAAGACCCAGGGTGGCTGAGAGCTAAACCTAACCCCCATCTGGCCAGCAGCAGCACTGTGTGGGACCTGAGAGCCGGCGGACAGTGGGCATGACCAAATCCAGCCCAGCTCCAACCCTCCGACCTGTTGATTATCCACCAGGCCGTGTAAAGACAGCAGGAAATGAAAGGCCCTGCACGTGTTTTATCTGGCATCATCCTCACCACATTTCTGCAAACTAGGTGTTTTTACCATGACTCCCCACTCACAGATAAAGAGACTGAGGGTCAGAGAGCTCCCTTGACTTGCCTGACCAGGACAGAACAGTGAGGCAATGTCAGAAGCAGGTGCAAACCCTGCTCTCTCCACTTTACAAATGTGTGTGACTGTGTCTGTGTGTGTCCTTTCCCACAAAATAGGTAATCATCTGCGTTACCCTCCTCGTCCCCCTCCTCCTGCTGCTCTCCCTCCAGCGTGGGCATCCAGGCAAGGGAGAGGCCTCTCCTAGGATCATGACAGATCAGCTGTGCAGGTCTACGTGCTCAGAGCCGCCACTACACAGAGGGCTGTGCTTTCTCCCTTCGGGAGCCAAAATTGTCTTCATGGAGGATCTGGAAAGTCACATAAATAGCTGTGGTACACGCCAACAGCCACCTTCAAGCTCTGAAGTTATACTGTCCTCCCCTGAAATAACTCAGGGATTCAGGGGACAAAAGGCCTGCACTTTTGGTCTCTCCCACCCCGTAACAATGAGGATGCTCTGTCCAGAAATCATCTTCATCCTGCTCCTGGGCTCTCCCTCACTCACCCCTCCGGGCTCTCCCGGTCCATCAGTCCCATTTCACAGAGGACAAGCTTGAAGATCAAGAAGGGTCTGTTCTCCAGTTAACAGATGGGGAAATGGAGGTCCACAGAAACTGTACTAGCAAATATGATGGTTAATTTTGTGTGTTGACTTGACTGGTTCTTTTGGTCAAACACTATTCTAGATGTTGCTGTGAAGATATCGTGTAGATGCGATTAACGTTGACGTTAGGTAAAGATTACCCTCCATCCTGTGGGTGGGCCTCATCTAATCAGTTGAAGGCCCTCCAAGCAAAAGCTGAGGTTTCCCAGAGAAGAAATTCTGCCTCGAGCCTGCAACATAAAAACTCTACCTGAGCTTCCAGCCTGCTGGCCTGCCCTTCGGATTTGGGATTTGTCAGCCTCTGCCATCATATTGAACCAATTCCTTAAAATTAAAAAAAAAAAAAAAAGATTTTAAATATATTGGATTTCATATATATTTATGTATGCTATATATATATGTATATATATGTAAAAGATTTTGTATATATTTCTCTGGAAGATCAATGGAGCAAGTAAAGACAGAGCCTAAGAGGGTGGAGAGGACAAGAGGACTCACGTGAATGAAGCACCACTATGTTCCGGGAGCTCCTGCCTGTGTTATCTTGGTAAAACCTCCCCCGCCACCCACAGAGGCGGCTTGTGCCCTTTCCCAGGGTTCAGAGAGTGTGAGTGACCTGCCCAGGGTCACACAGCTGGGAATCAAACGCCATCTGCCTCCACCGGCCATACTCCCCAAACACCATGCTGCTGGCAAGACAATGGTTTCCCGGGAGTTGGGGGGCATCATTCCCTTCCAGGATCCCAAGGGGAACGCCTCCTCAAGTCCTTCTATGGGAAGTCACTGAGGTCAGAAACCAAGATGCACTGTTTCTAGTGGCACAAAATGGAAAACCCAACTCAAACTCCCTTCAGCAATAAAGGGAATGTCTTGGTGGGCGCGTGTGGGAAGCCCAGCGGTAGATCTTCACGCGTGGGCTGAGACTGGGCAGCCGCAGAAGCAGCGTCTCCCCCAGAGGGTGCCCATCCCCCTCCCATCCGGGCACAACCCCCTCAGGCTCTCCACCGTGGCCCTGGATGCTTCCAGCTTCCATGTGAAACTAGCAATTCCTGTGAAAAGAGAAATCCTCTGCTGTAGTTTGAAGGCTCGGGATCGAGACCCCAGGCAATGGCTTGGCTCTCTTCTTTCTTGCCTGAACGAATTGAGATGTAACCCAAGTGGTGGTCAAGAGCCACACTGCCTGGGTTCAAATCCCTGCTCCATCACTGACCTGCTGGGTCCCTTGGACAACAGTCTTAACCCCTCTGTGCCTCCATTTTTCCACCTGTAAAATGGGGATAATAATTGTACTTCCTTCAAAGGCTTGTGGTGATTAATAATTAATGGTTGCTTTACATTTGGGGGTGCACCTCTTTATCTGGAACCCGGATCTGCCCCACCTGAGCCACAAGGATTAAGAGGCACAGGATGATTCTCCAAAAGGAAATGGATTTGCTGTTAACAAAAGGAAGGAGAATGGCAGGCAAAAAGGCCAGACTAACAGCTGCCTAACAGAGTGGCCTCAGCAAAATGCCACA